TCTTTAGTATCTTGAATTCTTCCTTGTGCTTTGGCTTCTGACATCCATTTGGTCTTTTCTTCCTCTTCTTTGTAGTGAACGTTTGCACTTTTCTTGGATGATACCCTTGATATCCTCCCACAACGCATTGGTTCTTCGCTCATTTGTGTTCAAGGCCTCAAACCTATTCTTGAGATGGTTATGAAATTCTGGAGACTAAGATGCATCTGGTACAGACCATGGTCTTTGCAATCACTTGTTATGTGTCAGAGAGCTGGACAATGACCAGGGAGGATAGAAGGAGAATTGATGCTTTTGAACTTTTGTGTTGGAGAAGAGTGCTGAGGGCACCATGGACTGCTAAGAAAACAAACAGATTCATCTTGGAGAGGGTTAAACTGGGCTGCTCCTTGGAGGCAAGAATTCTGAAACTTCTTCTGTTATACTTTGGTCATGTTGTAAGGAGGGACCGATCTTTGGAAAAGGACATGATGCACATGAAGGCGGAAGGCAGGCACAGGAGGGAAAGGCCCTCTGGGAGGTGGACTGATTCGGTGACTGGGGCAATCAGGATGAGTGTGTCAGAGACAGTGAGATTGGCACAGGACAGAGCAGAGTTTAGAGCTGTTAAACATAAGGTCTCTATGAGTCACAAGCAACTCGACAGCACATAACAACAACAGCAATTGTAAGATAAATTATATTCTCCTTTTTTTCTCATTGCCATTGAATTTGAACCAACTTGTATTTGACCCTTGAGCAGTTTTTTAAAATTGTAATTCACAAGGGAGGAGATTGCCCATTTTTCCCCTTCAGAGAATCTAGTGGATTCAAACTGCCTGGTTTTGGATTGACAGTGAAATTCCTTCTTCACTAGGCCACTGCTTTGTTAATTATCACTGTGTGCACGTAATACAGAGACAAGTGCTGAAGGGATATTCAGTATGTTTTCACTATGAGGGAGCTCTGGTGGCTTATTAGTAAGAATCTGTGCTGCAATACTAAAGGCACTGGTTCAAATCCACTAGCTACTCTGTGGGAGAAGGATGGGGAAGTTTCCTCCCATGTGATTCACTGCTCTGAAAACCCACTGGAGGCTTAGCTATGCGTTGGTTCCAAATCAGCGGCACCTCCACGCACACACAATACATATATAGATACTGTAATATTGCAGGAATTTCTGTACCATGTGAAAGCACAAAGGAGGAAGAGTTGAGAATCAAGGAGGCCTGCTTGTAGGTGGAATTTCTCATTATGAGTTGTGGCGGTACTAATTACAGTGCTAAGCTGTTGTTATCCAGACACTACTGTGCCAGCCACTACTGTGTGACCCTGTGAACAACACATCTGAACCTTGCCCTATCCTGTGCCATCCCCAGGATCCCCATCATGTGCAAACTCATTATTGGAGTCACTGTGTTATTCTATATGCTTGAGGGTCTTCGTTCTTTCTTTCCCTGACTCTCTTCCATTCCCAGCATGATACGATGTCTCTTTCTAAGCACTCGCCCCACGCGATAACATGCCCAAAATATGTGAGATGAAGTTTCACCATCCTTGCCTCTAAAGCACACTCTGGTTGCACTTTGTCTAGGACAGATTTCTTTGTTCTTTTAGCAGTCTGTGGTATATTCATTCAGCACTCTTCACCAGCAGCACACTTCAAAGGTATCCATTCTTCGTTGGTCTTCCTTATTCACTGTCTAACTTTCAGATGCCTAGAGAGCAATTGGGAATGCCATGGCTTGCATCAGGGACACGTTAATCTTTAAACTGACATCTTCATTCTTTAGTTCTTTAACAGTAGTAAGCAGTGGCCAAGAAACGGTCTGATGTTGCTTGTGGTTCCTGAGCATTTATTGGCTTTGTAGAAAGCTGTTAGGCTGAAACTCCTTTCTTCCTTCTTATGCCAGGGAATGTTCTGCTTAGGTTTAAAGGTGGAGAAACCAATGGTGAACATTTTAGAGAAGGACCTTGTACTTCTAATAAGTAAGATATTTTAGAAACACATAGGTAAAGATTCTTGGGCAGAGCACATGGTTTGGCTCGTAAATGGTGTCTTTCTGGAAGGGTGGCATCTTGACTACTCCAAAATGGAGGGAGCTTTGTTTTCTCATCTTTGTATCATAATATCAAACAGGGTAATTGGCATTTGACATATGTTCACTAAAGATTTGTTGAGCTGTTCTAGACTAAACTGAAGGTGAGCATTATGGACTCTTGGCTTTCTGTGGTGAGCCGAGTGATAATAACTGCCCCACGAGCCCCTAAGCCAGGGGTCATGTGGGCTCTAGTCTGAGGCTGCCTTTGTGCATTGGAGTGTGGTGCTTGGAAAATTAAACAGCTTTCATTAGAGGGTCAGTTTTATTTAATGAGCTTAAAATGAAGAGTGTGGCCTGAAGAGCCTTTTATGTTTAAAGGAGCTCAGAGCTCTGGCTTCTATGCCTTGGAAAGAGACTTCATGCTTGAAAAGATGGAAGATCAGTGAGGGAGAGGGAAATCCCCAGTGAGATGAATTGACATGTTGACTTCAGCAATGGGATCTGTTGGGTTAGAGATGATGAGGTTGGCACAGGTAGGGCATTGTTCAGGTCGGACTCAGCGACATGTCACCTTATAATAACAACAGTGGTTCTCTCAGAAGCTGGTGTGCTTTGTCTAGGAGAGAAAGTCTCCTGGGGAGACAGTGTGCTACGGAGATAGTAGTCCCTAGCACATTGGCTCCCATTAAGGAAGGACAGTAAGGTAATTTCTTTTCAGGTTTTCTCTTAAGTTCTGAAATGTTCTCCATAGCCTTCATGCTTCCCTTGTCGTCCCTGTTCTGGTTATGGACCACTTACTTTGGCCTGTAGAAGGTTACTTCTTAGTTTTCTGTTTCTGGTAAGGAAAGGTCTGGCTAGGACTTTTCTGTGAGTACAGACAAGACGAGTAATGGTAATGTTTCCAAGGGAGGCACATGGCTGGGGCAGTGGAATACTTTAAACCAATTAGAGAGGAAAAGGTTTCATTATAAAAGCAAGACGTAAAATGATTTTATTTCAGTGTCTATTTTTATAAAATATAAATGTATTAACAAATGGTTGGTGTCTTGCAAATTGTTTAGTCTCAGAGTCAGATCTTGAACTCTATTTCCCAGGGGGAAAAAAAACCCCTAATTTTAAAAACCAAGTACCTAATTAGGGAGCTCTGGTGGCCTAGTGATAAAAAGCTGTGCTGCAGGCAACCTCAAAGGTACATGGTTTGGATCCACTAACTGCTCCATGCGAGAAGAATGGGCAGTCTCCTCCCATGACTAACTGCCTCTGAAAACTTGCTGGAGGGTCAGCTGTGGGTTGACTCTACCAGTACACACAATGCCTAATTACAGAGAAGCCTGTTAAGATACTAACTATGCATGTTTAACTGTTTGTGTCTCCCCTTTGGACCCTGCAGGTACAACAGTGCCAGCTCACAGGGCTATCCTGGTGGCCCGTTGTGAAGTGATGGCTGCCATGTTTAATGGTAATTACATGGAAGCAAAGAGTGTTCTGATTCCAGTTTATGGTGTTTCCAAAGAGACTTTCTTGTCTTTTTTAGAGTACCTGTACACAGACTCCTGTTGCCCAGGTAACAATATTAAGTGTTAATAATATCTCAGTTCACTACCTGCAAATTGCTTTAGGTGAAATCTAGTTTTGTTCCTCAGAATTGACATTATGGAATGTTGTAGGCAGTTTGGGGTAGTTTAAGTACAACATGGAGTCGTCAGTTGAAATAGGAGAAGACCTCTTATGGGTTCTTAGCCTCTAGGATCATTCCACATCCCTTGTTGAGCACCATTGTGAGGGCGGTTATTGTGAGCACCCTGACAATGGCTGTGTCTTGCGGGCCTCAAAAGTCAGTCTAATCTTGAAGATTGGAGCTAAGAGCTCCCCTCCAGAAAAAGAGGAGGGTGATTTCTGATCCAGGCACTTTTAAGACTTTTCGTATTATGAGACCCTCCCCTTGCTCTTTTCCTCTGGTCTAGAGGATAGAAGGTATTTTTTTTAAACTCCATCTATTTTTTTTCTCTTACTTTCCCCCCTAAAATGGTTAGGATATCTGAAAGATTGAGGGATTATTTCCTGATTCACTTTGACCAAGAAAACTGTCTGTGGCACCTACAAAGTGTAGTCCATCTTGCAGATTTCCTCCAGATAGCAATACCTGGAAAATTAGCAAGACCCTTGCAGGAGATTTGGGGCACTGAGATGCTGACCCAGAAGCCCTCTTTCATTGGTCACCACACTTTTTTCTTTGACCACCAGGTGGCTCCCACTGCAAAGACAATTAGAACAGGCTCATTAAAGGCTTGCACAGGAGACTGAGACACAAAACCTGGCCAAGCACCGCAGCAGATTTTTAAAAAGACGCTCATTTAAGACTGTGTTTCTCTTCAAGCATACTGTTTTAATTTTAGATTTGGACAGCATTCTACTCTTATTTGTGAAATCTCTTGTTTTGAGTAAGTCATGAACTCTCTAATGAAAGGTTTTAGAAGTTCCAAAACAGAACATTCCTTTTTCAAATTGAATAATTTCTGGTTTTACCACAAGTGGTATAATAATTTGGAGCCAATTACAGTTATTAGTGTCAGTGATAATGACTGACTTGCCATATTCACTTAATAGAAATGAAAGAATTGGTTTTTATTGTAAATATAGTTTAATATTTCAGTATTGGAAAATTTGCATATTAAACCTAAAATTTTATCAGATTTCAAAATAATAGGAAAATTAGGTTCTCAGTACTCTTCTCCATAAAGTAATTAAAGTTGCTAATTTTTTTAACTTGCTAATTTTGAAAACAATGCAAAGCCATTTTATGATAATTAAAAGGCGTAGGGGGAAAGCAAATAGTTCTAAATAATAAAAAGATTGTGATGGACACTTGAACATATGTAATGAGAAGATGACGGGAAACCTATTCATTCTGTGGCATATTTCTCATATATAGTGTTCTAGTTCCATTGTAGGGCAGCTCTAGTGGCCTGGTCCTTCAGGGGTTATGCTGCTGACCCAAAGGACTTTGTGTCTCTGGTGGTCTGAATCTACCAGCCACTCCTCAAGAGACATATGGGCATTCTCCTCCCATGCAATTTACAGCTGTGGAACCCTGCTGGATGACAAGCTCTAAGTGGGTTCCCATTGAACAGCCATGAGAGAATAAGTGGGTTGCCATTGAACAGCAGTGAGAGTTCCACAGAGCAAAAGAACATTGAGAAGCTTGACGTGTGATAAGAAAGAGAATTTCTTTAAAGATTGATTCTTATTTGTCATCAGTGGAAACAAACTGATAGCTGCCCTCCAGGGGGGTTTCAGAGGCGGGAAATCACACACAAGATTAGATTGCCCATCTTTGTCCTTTGGAGCAGCTGGTGAATTTGAACCATGTGCCTTTGGGTTGTTTAGTTTGTCACTAAGCCATCAGAGCTCCTTAAAGACTAATTGTTGTTGTGTATCATAGAGTTGAAACCGACCCATAACTGACCTTCTGGTGGGTTTTCAGAGGTAGTTAATCACACGCGAGGAGATTGCTTATCCTTTCCCTGTGGCGCAGCTGATAGCCTTGAACTGTGTGCCTTCAGGATTGCAGCACAGCTTCTTACCACTCGGCCACCAGAGCCTCCTTAGAAGTGTAAAAGTCAAAAAAATCTGAGGACTAGAACCAAAAAAAGGGGAAAAAAATCAATGGGACTTAGGTTAGGTGGCAGAAAAGTTTTCTTAGTAGCTGCAAATTGATTATCAGAGGGATTATAGAATCTCTTTCTAGAGAATTTTAAAAAAAATTCATTTCTAAACATAAAAGCTCAAATTGATGTTTTCTGAAAATAGAATAATAGTTTGCAGTGCTCACTCCATCAAAACATTTTCCTAGCATTCTCCACTTCATTTGATGATATGGTTGGCATTTTCTTTTTTTAGGTCGTAAAGGAAATAGTTTAATCCTTGTTTTCTCTTACTTCCCTGTCATTAGCCGGCATTTTCCAGGCCATGTGTCTCCTGATCTGTGCTGAGATGTACCAAGTGTCGCGACTGCAGCACATCTGTGAGCTTTTCATCATCACACAGCTACAGAGCATGCCAAGCCGGGAGCTGGCCTCCATGAACCTGGATATAGTTGACCTGCTCAAAAAAGCCAAGGTAATCGGTTCTATAGGTCTGGTGGTACTGGTGGCAGCTTTCTGTGTTGTAAAAAAATTATATAGCGCTTGTTAAAATTTTGTTTAATATGAGATCTATTACTGAACTCAGTTCATAGAAACCATTTCTGTAGCTAGGTAATTCAGTAGCATTAGGGGTTTTGTGCAATCCCTATTTAAGGAAGTAGAATTACAGGGGCAGAATTTCACCCCACCCCCAACTAGACTATAGCCCTTAGCAAGTCATTTGAATATAGTGCCCTAAAGGGCTCTGGTGGCCTAGTCTTTAGAGAGGGCATTAACCCAAGGCCATGCCTCTGGCAGTAAGAATCTACCAGTGGCTCCACAGGAGTTGTTGTTGTTGTTGTTGTTATGTGCCATAAGTCGCCTGCAACTCA